CAGTCAGTAAATCAGTCAGCCAATCAATGAGTCAATCATTCAGTCAGCCAATCAATCAGTCAGTCAGTCAGCCAATCAATCAGTCAATCAGTCAGTCAATCAGCCAAACAATCAGTCAATCAGTCAGTCAGTCAGTCAGCCAATCAATCAGTCAATCAGTCAGTCAATCAATCAGTCAATCAGTAAATCAGTCAGCCAATCAGTCAGTCAGCCAATCAGTCAGTCAGTCAGTCAGTCAGTCAATCAATCAGTCAGTCAGTCAGTCAGTCAGTCAGTCAGCCAGTCAATCAGTCAGTCAGTCAGTCAGTCAGTCAGTCAGTCAGCCAGTCAATCAGTCAGTCAGTCAGTCAGTCAGTCAGCCAGTCAGCCAGTCAATCAGTCAGTCAGTCAGTCAGTCAGTCAGTCAGTCAATCAGTCAACCAATCTTGAGGAAAGATGCAGCACAGTTTTCCTTTGACTTGAATGGAGCAGTTTCCCTTCCTACAGTACCTGTAGCAAGTATTCACCCCCTTGGACTTTTCCACATTATATTGTGCTAGCCTGGATTTCCAACAATCATGATCACGATCATGATTCCAGATTGTGGCATGCATGAGGTCAAAGGCGCACCTTATGGAGATATGATATAACAGTGATACACTATCAGGGTTGGGGTCAATTCCATTTCAATTCCTGTCAATTCAGGAAGTACACTGAAATTCCAAATCCAATTCCAATTCTCCTCAATGCTTTTCAATGAGGGAAAATCTGGAATTGGAATTTGGTTTATTTTCTGAATTGAAATGGAATTAAGGCCAACCCTGTACACTATATATTACTCTAACATTAGTTAGTCCTCACTAGACACGGCCCTCGGGCCTCGATCCTCTAACTGACAGTCTAGTTCATTCTAATAATAATAATAATATGCCATTTAGCAGACGCTTTTATCAAAAACGACTTACAGTCACACGTGCATACATTTTTGTGTATGGGTGGTCCCGGGGATCGAACCCACTACCTTGGCGTTACAAGCGCCGTGCTCTACCAGCTGAGCTACAGAGGACCCTTTCACTGAGACGAGACCGAAAGATGTGCCAGTGTGTCCTCTGAATGAAATGAACGACGCCTCTGTGCTACAGATGAAGCGGCCACTGGCTAGCACTGTGACAGGTCAGGACAGACCTAACTGTCTGTCTGTAGTGGGACAACTCTCCCTGAGGGAAGACATTAATGCCCTCTGGTCTTCCTCTGATCTGATCTGATCACAGGACTGGTTCATGTACAGACCCATACTGTGTTTCGACCAATGAGATGTCTACTGTATATTACATGTCTGTATGAGTGAGGCGTCAGGGCCAAGCCTCTCCTCTGGGACCCCCAGCCATGTCAGGACCAAGCCTCTCCTCTGGGACCCCCAGCCATGTCAGGGCCAAGCCTCTCCTCTGGGACCCCCAGCCATGTCAGGACCAAGCCTCTCCTCTGGGACCCCCAGCCATGTCAGGACCAAGCCTCTCCTCTGGGACCCCCAGCCATGTCAGGACCAAGCCTCTCCTCTGGGAGCCCCAGCCATGTCAGGACCAAGCCTCTCCTCTGGGACCCCCAGCCATGTCAGGGCCAAGCCTCTCCTCTGGGACCCCCCAGCCATGTCAGGACCAAGCCTCTCCTCTGGGACCCCCAGCCATGTCAGGACCAAGCCTCTCCTCTGGGACCCTCAGCCATGCCAGGGGCAAACCTCTCCTCTGGGACCCCCAGCCATGTCAGGGCCAAGCCTCTCCTCTGGGACCCCCAGCCATGTCAGGACCAAGCCTCTCCTCTGGGACCCCCAGCCATGTCAGGACCAAGCCTCTCCTCTGGGACCCCCAGCCATGTCAGGACCAAGCCTCTCCTCTGGGACCCCCAGCCATGCCAGGACCAAGCCTCTCCTCTGGGACCCCCAGCCATGACAGGACCAAGCCTCTCCTCTGGGACCCCCAGCCATGTCAGGGGCAAGCCTCTCCTCTGGGACCCCCAGCCATGTCAGGGCCAAGCCTCTCCTCTGGGACCCCCAGCCATGTCAGGACCAAGCCTCTCCTCTGGGACCCCCAGCCATGTCAGGGCCAAGCCTCTCCTCTGGGACCCCCAGCCATGTCAGGACCAAGCCTCTCCTCTGGGACCCCCAGCCATGTCAGGGGCAAGCCTCTCCTCTGGGACCCCCAGCCATGCCAGGGGCAAGCCTCTCCTCTGGGACCCCCAGCCATGTCAGGGGCAAGCCTCTTCTCTGGGACCCCCAGCCATGTCAGGGGCAAGCCTCTCCTCTGGGACCCCCAGCCATGTCAGGGGCAAGCCTCTCCTCTGGGACCCCCAGCCATGTCAGGGGCAAGCCTCTCCTCTGGGACCCCCAGCCATGTCAGGGGCAAGCCTCTCCTCTGGGACCCCCCAGCCATGCCAGGGGCAAGCCTCTCCTCTGGGACCCCCAGCCATGTCAGGGGCAAGCCTCTCCTCTGGGACCCCCAGCCATGTCAGGGGCAAGCCTCTCCTCTGGGACCCCCAGCCATGTCAGGGGCAAGCCTCTCCTCTGGGACCCCCAGCCATGTCAGGGGCAAGCCTCTCCTCTGGGACCCCCAGCCATGTCAGGGGCAAGCCTCTCCTCTGGGACCCCCCAGCCATGCCAGGGGCAAGCCTCTCCTCTGGGACCCCCAGCCATGCCAGGGGCAAACCTCTCCTCTGGGACCCCCAGCCATGTCAGGGGCAAGCCTCTCCTCTGGGACCCCCAGCCATACCAGGGGCAAGCCTCTCCTCTGGGACCCCCAGCCATGCCAGGGGCAAGCCTCTCCTCTGGGACCCCCAGCCATGTCAGGGGCAAGCCTCTCCTCTGGGACCCCCAGCCATGTCAGGGGCAAGCCTCCCCTCTGGGACCCCCAGCCATGCCAGGGGCAAGCCTCTCCTCTGGGACCCCCAGCCATGTCAGGGGCAAGCCTCTCCTCTGGGACCCCCAGCCATGTCAGGGGCAAGCCTCTCCTCTGGACCCCCAGCCATGTCAGGGGCAAGCCTCTCCTCTGGGACCCCCAGCCATGTCAGGGGCAAGCCTCTCCTCTGGGACCCCCAGCCATGTCAGGGGCAAGCCTCTCCTCTGGGACCCCCAGCCATGTCAGGGGCAAGCCTCTCCTCTGGGACCCCCAGCCATGCCAGGGGCAAGCCTCTCCTCTGGGACCCCCAGCCATGCCAGGGGCAAGCCTCTCCTCTGGGACCCCCAGCCATGCCAGGGGCAAGCCTCTCCTCTGGGACCCCCAGCCATGCCAGGGGCAAGCCTCTCCTCTGGGACCCCCAGCCATGTCAGGGGCAAGCCTCTCCTCTGGGACCCCCAGCCATGTCAGGGGCAAGCCTCTCCTCTGGGACCCCCAGCCATGCCAGGGGCAAGCCTCTCCTCTGGGACCCCCAGCCATGCCAGGGGCAAACCTCTCCTCTGGGACCCCCAGCCATGCCAGGGGCAAACCTCTCCTCTGGGACCCCCAGCCATGCCAGGGGTAAACCTCTCCTCGGGGACTCCCAGCTGAGAACCACTGGGTTATGCAGTCCAGTACATCTGACAGAGGCCTGGGTAGGGGGTCTACAGCTGCACCATCGAGAGCATCCTGACTGGTTGCATCACCGCCTGGTATGGCAACTGCTCGGCCTCCGACCACAAGGCACTACAGAAGGTAGTGCGTACGGCCCAGTACATCACTGGGGCCAAGCTTCCTGCCATCCAGGACCTCTATACCAGGCGGTGTCAGAGGAAGGCCCTAAAAATTGTCAAAGACTCCAGCCACCCTAGTCATAGACTGTTGTCTCTGCTACCGCACAGCAAGCGGTACCGGAGCACCAAGTCTAGATCCAAGAGGCTTCTAAACAGCTTCTACCCGAAAGCCATAAAACTCCTGAATATCTAATCCAGACTCCTGAACATCTAATCCAGTACCCAGACTATTTGCATTGTCACCCCCCACCCCTCTTTTACGCTGCTGCTACTCTCTGTTTATTATCTATGCATAGTCACTTTAACTCTACCTACATGTACATATTACCTCAATTACCTCGACTAACCGGTGCCCCCGCACATTGACTCTGTACCGGTACCCCCTGTATATAGCCTCCCTACTGTTATTTCACATTGACTCTGTACCGGTACCCCCTGTATATAGCCTCCCATATGTTATTTCCCATTGATCTTGTTACCGGTACCCCCTGTATATAGCTTCCCTACTGTTATTTCACATTGATCTGTACCGGGTACCCCCTGTATATAGCCTCCCTACTGTTATTTCCCATGACTCCGTACCGGTACCCCCTGTATATAGCCTCCCTACTGTTATTTCACATTGACTCTGTACCGGTACCCCCTGTATATAGCCTCCCTACTGTTATTTCACATTGACTCTGTACCGGTACCCCCTGTATATAGCTTCCCTACTGTTATTTCACATTGACTCTGTACCGGTACCCCCTGTATATAGCTTCCCTACTGTTATTTCCCATTGACTCTGTACCGGTACCCCCTGTATATAGCTTCCCTACTGTTATTTCACATTGACTCTGTACCGGTACCCCCTGTATATAGCTTCCCTACTGTTATTTCCCATTGACTCTGTACCGGTACCCCCTGTATATAGCCTCCCTACTGTTATTTCACTGCTGCTCTTTAATTTTATTCTTTAAAGGTATTATTTCTTTAAACTGCACTGTTGGTTAAGGGCTTGTAAGTAAGCATTTCACTGTAATGTCTACACCTGTTGTATTCAGCGCATGTGACAAATACAATGTGATATGATTTGATTTGACAGAGGCCTGTTTAGGGGGTCTGATAGGGGCCTGGGTAGGGGGTCTGACAGGGGCCTGGGTAGGGGTCTGACAGGGGCCTGGGTAGGGGGTCTGACAGGGGCCTGGGTAGGGGGTCTGATAGGGGCCTGGGTAGGGGGTCTGACAGGGGCCTGGGTAGGGGGTCTGACAGGGGCCTGGGTAGGGGGTCTGATAGGGGCCTGGGTAGGGGGTCTGACAGGGGCCTAGGTAGGGGGTCTGACAGAGGCCTGGGTAGGGGGTCTGACAGGGGCCTGGGTAGGGGGTCTGATAGAGATCTGGGTAGGGGGTCTGATAGGGGCCTGGGTAGGGGGTCTGATAGGGGCCTGGGTAGGGGGTCTGATAGGGGCCTGGGTAGGGGGTCTGATAGGGGCCTGGGTAGGGGGTCTGACAGGGGCCTGGGTAGGGGGTCTGACAGGGGCCTGGGTATGGGGTCTGACAGGGGCCTGGGTAGGGGGTCTGACAGGGGCCTGGGTAGGGGGGTCTGATAGAGACCTGGGTAGGGGGTCTGATAGGGGCCTGGGTAGGGGGTCTGATAGGGGCCTGGGTAGGGGGTCTGACAGAGGCCTGGGTAGGGGGTCTGACAGGGGCCTGGGTAGGGGGTCTGATAGGGGCCTGGGTAGGGGGTCTGATAGAGACCTGTTTTATGAACTCTGTCCCCTGGGTGAGTCAGTCTGTTTAATGAACTCTCTTCCCTGGGTGAGTCAGTCTGTTTAATTAACTCTGTCCTCTGGGTGAGTCAGTCTGTTTAATTAACTCTGTCCCCTGGGTGAGTCAGTCTGTTTAATTAACTCTGTCCTCTGGGTGAGTCAGTCTGTTTAATTAACTCTGTCCCCTGGGTGAGTCAGTCTGTTTAATGAACTCTGTCCCCTGGGTGAGTCAGTCTGTTTAATTAACTCTGTCCCCTGGGTGAGTCAGTCTGTTTAATTAACTCTGTCCCCTGGGTGAGTCAGTCTGTTTAATGAACTCTGTCCCCTGGGTGAGTCAGTCTGTTTAATGAACTCTGTCCCCTGGGTGAGTCAGTCTGTTTAATTAACTCTGTCCCCTGGGTGAGTCAGTCTGTTTAATGAACTCTCTTCCCTGGGTGAGTCAGTCTGTTATAGGAACTCTCTTCCCTGGGTGAGCCAGTCTGTTATAGGAACTCTCTTCCCTGGGTGAGTCAGTCTGTTATAGGAACTCTCTTCCCTGGGTGAGCCAGTCTGTTATAGGAACTCTCTTCCCTGGGTGAGCCAGTCTGTTATAGGAACTCTGTTCCCTGGGTGAGCCAGTCTGTTATAGGAACTCTCTTCCCTGGGTGAGTCAGTCTGTTTAATGAACTCTCTTCCCTGGGTGAGTCAGTCTGTTATAGGAACTCTCTTCCCTGGGTGAGTCAGTCTGTTTAATGAACTCTCTTCCCTGGGTGAGTCAGTCTGTTATAGGAACTCTCTTCCCTGGGTGAGTCAGTCTGTTATAGGAACTCTCTTCCCTGGGTGAGCCAGTCTGTTATAGGAACTCTCTTCCCTGGGTGAGTCAGTCTGTTATAGGAACTCTCTTCCCTGGGTGAGTCAGTCTGTTATAGGAACTCTCTCCCCTGGGTGAGCCAGTCTGTTATAGGAACTCTGTTCCCTGGGGTGTACTGTACCTTCTCTGCAGATACAGGATCCATCGATGGGGGAGCAGGTGGCATGGTTATGACAGGAACAGGTATAGGAGCAACTAGGACCATATAGCCCAGGAGGACACAGAGAGGAGCAGGCATCACCCTGGAGAGAGGAGGAGAGGATAGGGGAGGAGAAAGGAGGAGAGAGAGGAGAGGAGGAGAGAGGAGAAAGGAGGAGAAAGGAGGAGAGAGGAGAAAGGAGGAGAAAGGAGGAGAGAGGAGTTAGCTAGTTAGCAACTTGAGGAGCAACTAGGACCATATAGCCAAGGAGGACACAGAGAGGAGCAGTCATCACCCTGGAGAGAGGATAGGGGAGGAGAAAGCCCACAAAATGAGGTGGAAACTGAGCTGCACTTCCTAACCTCCTGCCAAATGTATGACCATATTAGAGACACATATTTCCCTCAGATTACAGCGATCCACAAAGAATTTGAAAACAAACCCAATTTTGATAAACTCCCTTATCTACTGGGTGAAAAACCACAGTGTGCCATCACAGCTGCAAGATTTGTGACCTGTTGCCACAAGAAAAGGGCAACCAGTGAAGAACAAACACCATTGTAAATACAACCCATATTTATGTTTATTTATTTTCCCATTTGTACTTTAACTATTTGCACATTGTTACAACACTGTATATAGACATAATATGACATTTGAAATGTCTTTAGTCTTTTGAAACTTCTGAGTGTAATGTTTACTGTTAATATTTATTGTTTATTTCACTTTTGTTTACTATCTACTTCACTTGCTTTGGCAATGTTAACATACGTTTCCCATGCCAATAAAGCACTTAAATTGAAATTGAAAATTTAAATTGAATTGAGAGGAGAGGAGGAGAGAGGAGGAGGGAGTTGAATGGAGGAGAGAGGAGGAGAAGAGGAGAGAAGTGGAGCGAGGAGAAAGTAGGAGAGAGAGGAGAGGAGGAGAGAAGGAGAGAAGAGGAGAGAGGAGGTGAGAGGAGTTAGCTAGTTAGCAACTTGAGGAGCAACTAGGACCATATAGTCCAGGAAGACACAGAGAGGAGCATCTAAGAACATCACAGTGAGATGAGAGTGCCTACTGTAATCACTAGTCTCCCATTCCATATGCCATATAAGTGGAGCTGCGAGGTTCACAGCCAGGGCAGTTCGATCCTTTGTCTGGATTGGCCAGAACATGTCACGTGTCGCTCCCTATGCAAATGAGGTGTCAGACTTCACATCTCAGCTGAGAGCGGAGAACGGCATGCGAAGCGGGACAAACAGAGCTGTCACGGAGTGCACATTCACAGAGCCCTCCATACACAAAAAATGTTTGAGTCGGAACCGGTCCAGAACCACTCAAAATAGCAAGTACCCCTGACCGCGGATGGCTGTGGACGGGGTCGGCCCGGTCCAGCCCACCGCACGTTTTCCTTTGTTTTCAATGGTTGAGGAGTATTCACGTTCCACCAAGCTCCACACAACGTAGCATGAGTGGTGAAACGTCAGCAGTCCGCATGTAGGGTACATGTAACTAACTAACTAGCTAGTTAGCTGGCTAACATTATGGGTTTACAGAGTCACGTCTAACAATACAAATCATTGTTTTCTATTTTAGGGTTAATAATTTCTGTTGACGGGTAAATACTTATTATGGTGTTATAGTGATTCACTTTTCACAAGTAGAACATTTTTTGTTTACTCAATCGCTATGGTCACCGGCGGCTGTCATCCTCCTTCTGTGGAATTTGTGGTTTGCCTTCAACATAAAAGTCCTTCATTGAAAGTGATGCAAACGGATAGAAATAGTGCATCACGCCATGTTTGGACTAGAAGCTAAACAAGGTTGGAATGTTATTACATCATTTTAAATTAAACACAACAATTAATCAGTTGGACAATAAACAGAAAAAACGGTTGAAATCCCACCGTGGATCTATTAGACTGAGTCCCTGTAGCTCAGTTGGTAGAGCATGGCGCTTGCAACGCCAGGGTTGTGGGTTCGTTTCCAACGGGGGGCCCAGTATGAAAATGTATGCACTCACTAACTGTAAGTCGCTCTAGATAAGAGCGTCTGCTAAATGACTAAAATGTAAAATGTATAATTGCATTGGGGGCATACTTACACTGAGTATACAAAACATTATGAACACCTGCTCTTTCCATGACATAAGACTGATCAGGTGAAAGCTATGATCCCTTATTGATGTCACTTGTTAAATCCACACTCAACAGTTTCCCCATGTGTATCAAGAATGGTCCACCACCCAAAGGACATCCAGCCAACTTGACACTACTGTGGGAAGCATTGGAGTCATCATGGGCCAAGCATCCCTGTGGAAAGCGTTCGACACCGTGTAGAGTCCATGCCCCGATGCAACTCAATATTAGGAAGGTGTTCTTAATGTTTTGTACACTCAGTGTATATAGTTCTGTCCTTGAGCTGCTCTTGTCTATTAATGTTCTGTATTACGTCGTGTTTCATGTTCTGTGTGGACCCCAGGAAGAGTAGCTGCTGCTTTCACAACAGCTAATGGGGATCCTAATAAAATACCCAATACCAAACGGGCCAGCGTCCCTGTGGAACGCTTTCAACACCTTGTAGAGTCCATGCCCCAACGAATTGAGGCTGTTCTGAGGGCAAAAGGGGGGATGCAACTCAATATTAGGAAGGTGTTCATAATGTTTGGTATACTCAGTGTATATGCACTGTACAGCCTTACCTATGGATTGTGCACCCATGAAACGGGATATCAGCCTAATCAGGTGACACCCACAGAAAACTATTTTCAAGAGTTTACACAAACACTAGCATCTTAGCTCTTACCGCAGGACTCTGAAACCACTGTGAAATAAGCCACATTAGCTCTGAATCAGAGGAGGCTGGTGGGAGGAGCTATAGGAGGACGGGCTCATTGTAATTGCTGGAATGGAATAATTGGAACGGAGTCGAACGTGGTTTCCACTATTCCATTCCAGACATTAAAATGAGCCCATCCTCTTATAGCTCCTCCCACCAGCCGCCGCTGCCATATGGGCGGCAGGTAGCTTAGTGGTTAAGAGCGTTGTGCCGGTAACCGAAAGGTCGCTGGTTCTAATCCCCGAGCCGACTAGGTGAAAAATCTGCCGATGTGCCCTTGAGCAAGGCACTTAACCCTAATTGCTCATGTAAGTCGCTCTGGATAAGAGCGTCTGCCTAATGACTAAAAATAACTAAAAATAATGTTCAATACACATAGTAGGTTGAGTGGTGAGCTAATGCGGCTCATTTCGCACTGGTGTCCTGCAATAGAGCTAAGATGCTAATATTGGTGTATCCGCTACATAGTTGTGTTCTGTGGGTGTCACTGAGTAGGCCCACAGGTGCACAATCCATAGTTAAGGCTGTGGAGTGCAATATGAATATCCAATAGACTAACTGGGACAGCCTGGTATCAGCAGAAAAGTGTCAATCTGGTCCATTTTGAAAAAAAATAAATTTGTCATCAAGAAACATGATGCATATTTGAATACATTGCATTCAATGGGGGGAACATTAGTGTCACAATATTGATGCCTAGAGATAGGCATCATGGACATGATTCCAAATGTAATACATTGCATTCAATGGGGGGAAGTTATAAGTCAATTGCATTCATGTATGTAAGTTTATTCTCTCACTCAATTATCTTATTCCCCTCCCTCCCTCCTTCCCTCCCTTCTCTTTCTCTATTTGCCTCCCTCTCTCTTGTGATACATCCTCTTCCACCCCCTCATCTCTCTCTCTCTCTCTCTCTCTCTCTCTTCCTCCCTCATCTCTCTCTTCTCTCTCTGCTCTCTCTCCTGCCTCTCTCTCTCTCTCTCTCTCTCTCTCATTGGTAAAATAATCAGACAGACACAGACAGACTTATGCACTGACCGACAGACAGACTGACAGACCCTGTTTCTCTCTCTCTCTCCTCTTCTCTCTCTCTCTCTTCCTCTCCTCTCTCTCGTCTCTCTCCTCTCGCTCTCCCTCTCTCTCATCTCTCCGCCGTCTCTCTCTCTCATCGCCATCAGGGTCGGGCTCTCCCTATCTCTCGGGGAGGGTCTCTCCTCTGCTCGTCGGTCTCCGGGGAACTCTCTCCTGCTACTCTCTCGTCAATCTATCTCGCTCAAGAAAAAGGCCCCTCTCAGGGGGGCGGAGGTCTCCTCCCACGAGGGGGCTCGTCTCTGTCTTCGCGTGCGATCAGTCTCGTCCTCTCTTCTCTTGTCTAAACATCAGGAAATCTCCACGCCATCCTCTCGATCGTACGCCGCTCTCGTCTCGCGAAAGTCTCCCCTAGATCGAAGGCTCGTCACCCTCGCCAGGGCGAAAGTCAACATCGGGACTCTCCGACGACTCGCTCCATCTTCATGCCGCCGTCTGTCTCCTCGTCAAGCGTTCAATCTGTCCTTCTCCGGTGGCTCGGGGACAATCCGTCACATCAGACGGGATTCGATAGGATCGCTCTCGCAGGGAGCATCGTGGCGTCTCGGGGGGATAATCCCACGAGTCTCAGACCAGTCGCCTCCCCCAACGGGGGCTCGGGGGTCAGGGCAGTTAGGGTCGGAGCGAGGGCTAGGTCATCCTCTCGCTCGGGTCCGCTCGTGGGGGTGTCAGAGCAGTGCATCCGGGAGTCCGATGCCCTTCCCTTAAGTGAGAAGGGGATCGACACATCTCAGCCTCTCCATCTGCTCTTCGAACGATCGGAGCTATGGGGCCGGTGCAGGGTAACGGGTATGCTTGGTAGTCCTGTCTTTCAAGCGCGTCGAAATGCCGATGATCCTGGGTCCTCTCTCTCTCGCTATTGGTAAAATATCATACAACATCAGACAACTTATGCACTGGCCCGACAGCAGACTGACGACAGAGCCCTCAGTACTCTGTCAAGACCATTGTGTCCAATTGAGGTAAAAATAATTTTGGCCAATTGAACTGCAAATTTCATGTACGTATCATAACGGTCCATCCAGTCACAAATATGTACACTTTGGGACGATTCAATGACCCCTATTTCCCCAATTTAGTCACTTCCTGTAATCACAGGAAGCTGAAATTCAATGTACGGCCTCCTGGGGACATTCTCTAATTAACAATGCCCCAGTTTCAAGCTTTGACATTAAGGATGGACGATTCTACAGAGGCTTGAACGCAGTGTTTTTGTACATTGAATTTCAGCTTCCTGTGATTACAGGAAGTGACTACATTGTGGGTCATATGGGTGGTTTTGAAGGGTTAAAAAAGTTAAATCGTCTTAGAAATGTCCTTGTTTTCGAAAGAAAAGCTATTATTTTGTCAATTAAAATAACATCAAATTGATCAGAAATACAGTGTAGACATTGTTAATGTTGTAAATGGCTATTGTAGCTGGAAACTGGAGAAGCAGCTGGACGGGGGAAACTGGAGAAGCAGCTGGACAGGGGAAACTGGAGAAGCAGCTGGACGGGGGAAACTGGAGAAGCAGCACAGCTGGACAGGGGAAACTGGAGAAGCAGCTGGACGGGGGAAACTGGAGAAGCAGCTGGACAGGGGAAACTGGAGAAGCAGCTGGACAGGGGAAAATGGAGAAGCAGCTGGACGGGGGAAACTGGAGAAGCAGCTGGACAGGGGAAACTGGAGAAGCAGCTGGACAGGGGAAACTGGAGAAGCAGCTGGACGGGGGAAACTGGAGAAGCAGCTGGACAGGGGAAACTGGAGAAGCAGCTGGACAGGGGAAACTGGAGAAGCAGCTGGACGGGGGAAACCGCTCGAGTCGCACAAAATGGAATATAACGTTGCACATAAACAATGACACAATTAAAACCTAAAGTTCTGCATTACTTAGAGCTTAAACTGAATATATATATTTTTTTAATCAAACAAATTGTGTGACAATAACTTTTTCAAAATGAAATAAACAGAACAGTTAAGACGCTCAATTAAGTTCTGGGTCAAGAGAAGATACCAGTTAAATTAGTAAAAACATTTCAACAAGTGTTGTGTTTTCTCCTTTTGAATTGCAGTATATCATATTAAATAAAATAACGAACACTTGTTTTAACCACTGACCCACAGAGTAAGAGTCTGCTGCCTTCCGCAGGCTTCAAGCTTCCTTTTTGAAGAGGCATTTTGTCAGTTATCTGCAATACAGGTATGATTTGAAGAATGAAACGGGTGTTAAACATGGGCTTTGCTACACAGAAAGCAGCCTACTCCATTGTCAACACTTTGATTAAATCAGTAGACCTACAGTGCCTACGGAAAGTATTCAGACCCCTTGACTTTATCCACATTTTGTTACAGCCTTATTCTAAAATGGATTCAATTGTTTTTCCCCCTCATCAATCTAAACACAATACCCCATAATGACAAAGCAGAAACAGATTTTAAGAATCTTTTAATTTATCAAAAAATATTTACATAAATATTCAGACCCTTTACTCTGTACTTTGTTGAAGCACCTTTGGCAGCGATTAAAGCCTCGAGTCTTCTTGGGTATTACGCTACAAGCTTGGCACACCTGTATTTGGGGAGTTTCTCCCATTCTTCTCTGCAGATCCTCTCAAGCTCAGTGAGGTTGGATGGGGAGTGTTGCTGCACAGCTATTTTCAGGTCTCTCCAGAGATTTTAGATCGGGTTCAAGTCCGGGCTCTGGCTGGGCCACTCCGAAGCCACTCCTGTGTAGTCTTGGCTGTGTGCTTAGGGTCGTTGTCCTGTTGGAAGGTGAACCTTCGCCCCAGTCTGAAGTCCTGAGCGCCCTGGAGCAGGTTTTCATCAAGGATCTCTCTGTACTTTGCTCCGTTCATCTTTGCCTCGATCCTGACTAGTCTCCCAGTCCCTGCCGCTGAAAAACTTCCCCACAGCATGATGCTGCCACCACCATGCTTCACCGTAGGGATGGTGCCAGGTTTCCTTTAGGTGCCTTTTGGCAAACTCCAAGCAGACTGTCATGTGCCTTTTACTGAGGAGTGGCTTCCGTCTGTCCACTCTACCATAAAGGCCTGATTGGTGGAGTGCTGCAGAGATGATTGTCCTTCTGGAAGGTTCTCCCATCTCCACAGAGGAACTCAGGAGCTCTGTCAGAGTGACCATCGGGTTCTTGGTCACCTCCCTGACCAAGGCCATTCTCCCCAGATTGCTCAGTTTGGCCGGGCGGCCAGCTCTAGGAAGAGTCTTGGTGGTTCCAAACTTCTTCCATTTAAGAATGATGGAGGCCAATGTGTTCTTGGGGACCTTCAATTTTGCAGAAATGTTTTGGTACCCTTCCCCAGATCTCAGCCTCGACACAATCCTGGAGGCCACTGTGTTCTTGTGGACCTTCAATGCTGCAGAAATGTTTTGATACCCTCCCCCAGATCTGTGCCTCGACACAATCCTGTCTCTGAGCTCTACGGACAATTCCTTCGACCTCATGGCCTGGTTTATGCTTTGACATGCACTGTCAACTGTGGGACCTTATATAGACAGGTGTGTGCCTTTCCAAATCTTGTCCAATCAATTGAATTTACCACAGGTGGACTCCAATCAAGTTGTTGAAACATCTCAAGGATGATCAATGGAAACAGGATGTATAGGTATTTTTCCATTACATTTTTCCATTACATATATTATAAAATAATTTAACAATAAGCAGAATCATTATGGTTTTAATAGAGGATTAGTGACTACACCCGTCTATGATGTATGAAACATATTTTGTAATCCAGATGCATGACCGGACAACCACATTGTGACTGCAGTAATCAATGTACTATATAATTATCATCAGGTGTGTGTGTATATTAATTTTAAAGGATCTGTCTTTATCACGCCACCAATAGTGTCAGGCAAGAAGACGGGAAACCAAGCAGACATGGGCATAGACAGGAAAGAGGCTAGACAAAGAAACCATAGTGGCTCAAGGTCAAGGGAGGGTGGCTGTTTGGATAAAGAGGGGGTTCCGATACGATATGAAAAGGAGACCGAGCAGACATGGGGACAGACAGGAAAGAAGCTAGACAAAGAAACCATAGTGGCTCCGATACGATATGAAAAGATGAAGCAGTATAAAAAGAGAGTTCCGAGTCTGGGACTGGCAGTTGCTCCGTGGACCAGCTCGGCTTGTTACTTTGTAATAAAGTATATTCTGAACTCACAAGCTCCAGTGCCTGAGAGATATCTTTGAGAAGTATTTCCACGGCAGATGCACATGAGCTCAATTTCGAGTCTCATAGCAAAGGGTCTGAATACTTATGTAAATAAGGTATTTCTGTTTTTTATTTGTAATACATTTCTAGAAACCTGTTTTTGCTTTGTAATTATGGGGTATTGTGTGTAGATTGATGAGGAAAAAAACGATTTAATCCATTTTTTTTTTTTTTTTTTTTTTTTGGTGGGGGGGTAGATCAGCTTAATATTGCAGATAGATTGTAACTTCCATCAATGTAATTGTCTGCATCACTTCCAATCCCTCATGTTTATATATATATATACATATACACACATACACACATACAGTGAGGGAAAAAAGTATTTGATCCCCTGCTGATTTTGTACGTTTGCCCACTGACAAAGAAATGATCAGTCTATAATTGTAATGGTAGGTTGATTTGAACAGTGAGAGACAGAATAACAACAAAGAAATCCAGAAAAACGCATGTCAAAAATGTTATTAATTGATTTGCATTTTAATGAGGGAAATAAGTATTTGACCCCTCTGCAATGCATGACTTAGTACTTGGTGGCAAAACCCTTGTTGGCAATCACAGAGGTCAGACGTTTCTTGTAGTTGGCCACCAGGTTTGCACACATCTCAGGAGGGATTTTGTCCCACTCCTCTTTGCAGATCTTCTCCAAGTCATTAAGGTTTCGAGGCTGACGTTTGGCAACTCGAACCTTCAGCTCCCTCCACAGATTTTCTATGGGATTAAGGTCTGGAGACTAGCTAGGCCACTCCAGGACCTTAATGTGCTTCTTCTTGAGCCACTCCTTTGTTGCCTTGGCCGTGTGTTTTGGGTCATTGTCATGCTGGAATACCCATCCACGACCCATTTTCAATGCCCTGGCTGAGGGAAGGAGGTTCTCACCCAAGATTTGACGGTACATGGCCCCGTCCATCGTCCCTTTGATGCGGTGAAGTTGTCCTGTCCCCTTAGCAGAAAAACAACCCCCAAAGCATAATGTTTCCACCTCCATGTTTGACGGTGGGGATGGTGTTCTTGGGGTCATAGGCAGCATTCCTCCTCCTCCAAACACGGCAAGTTGAGTTGATGCCAAAGAGCTCAATTTTGGTCTCATCTGACCACAACACTTTCACGCAGTTCTCCTCTGAATCATTCAGATGTTCATTGGCAAACTTCAGACGGGCATGTATATGTGCTTTCTTGAGCAGGGGGACCTTGCGGGCACTGCAGGATTTCAGTCCTTCACAGCGTAGTGTGTTACCAATTGTTTTCTTGGTGACTATGGTCCCAGCTGCCTTGAGATCATTGACAAGATCCTCCCGTGTAGTTCTGGGATGATTCCTCACCGTTCTCATGATCATTGCAACTCCACGAGGTGAGATCTTGCATGGAGCCCCATGCCGAAGGAGATTTACAGTTATTTTGTGTTTCTTCCATTTGCGAATAATCGCACCAATTGTTGTCACCTTCTCACCAAGCTGCTTGGCGATGGTCTTGTAGCCCATTCCAGCCTTGTGTAGGTCTACAATCTTGTACCTGACATCCTTGGAGAGCTCTTTGGTCTTGGCCATGGTGGAGAGTTTGGAATCTGATTGATTGCTTCTGTGGACAGGTGTCTTTTATACAGGTAACAAACTGAGATTAGGAGCACTCCCTTTAAGAGTGTGCTCCTAATCTCAGCTCGTTACCTGTATAAAAGACACCTGGGAGCCAGAAATCTTTCTGATTGAGAGGGGGTCAAATACTTATTTCCCTCATTAAAATGCAAATCAATTTATAACATTTCTGACATGCGTTTTTTCTGGATTTTGTTGTTGTTATTCTGTCTCTCACTGTTCAAATTAAACCTCCAATAAAATTATAGACTGATCATTTCTTTGTCAGTGGGCAAACATACAAAATCAGCAGGGGATCAAATACTTTTTTCCCTCACTGTACACACACACATACATATCCTTTAAAAAATATATTCCCCTTTATTACTTTCCAACCCCGTCACCCCTTTCCTACTTGGAGTAAACTAGTGAACAACAACGCTTAGGCCTCTACTTCCAGCTTATACTTACTATATACATTTTATGGACACAGTCAATTTTACAATAATTACATTTTGTTTGTTCTTTCTCCTGAACTTCTTCTACTCTCAACCTCTCCGATCATTTTCATGATGTCCATCCGGTTTGCTTCTATATGCCATATCTTTCTAACTGTGCTCTTTCCCAAAAGCTCCCAACATACAACCTATATACTTATTAAGGACACAGTATGCCTACATTATTAGTTATCTTGTTATTGTTTGTTGTTATTTGTTATTAGTCCCATCCTTCAGCTTCATTCAACACCTCCCATCTATCTCTTAACACCATCAATATAGGATTTCTATTTGCCATATATATTTCAACTGTACTGTGATGTCTTACAAAAGTAGTTGTAGGATACTGTAGGATACTGACGAGTCTCTCACTTTAACGTCGCTGTCTGGCAAGTCCTGATGGACTTCATATCGAAAATACAACATGATCTTTAGTTTCCTTGTCCCGATGCTATACCATGGACATACTGTATAACTAACTGGAAACACGCAAAATCAAATCATGTGAAAACAACAGGCTAAATGGATTTGGACTAATCGTTACCACATTATATGGGACGTGCAAATTGACTCACAGAGACGATGGAGGAGCGTCATGTAGAAATCCGACTGCAACCACAGTGTACATAACACACACACCCAGGTACCGAGAGGCGGGACAGACAGCAGACTGTCATCCAAGCAGTGTACATAACAGACACACCCAGGTACCGAGAGGCGGGACAGACAGCAGACTGTCATCCAAGCAGTGTACATAACACACACACCCAGGTACCGAGAGGCGGGACAGACAGCAGACTGTCATCCAAGCAGTGTACATAACAGACACACCCAGGTACCGAGAGGCGGGACAGACAGCAGACTGTCATCCAAGCAGTGTCGCCCTGTCAGCGCTCACTTTGTGACTGACAGACGCCTGTCCTATCAATCGATCGCTAGAAGATTCATATTGTTCATTCTAGCGGGAGAGCGAATTGAAAAGTAGCCTAGTTAATTTAAGTGGAAAAAGTAGCCGGCTGAAAATTAGTCTGTAACCGGTTGTATAGCCGACAGGTGGCGCTAGTGGAAAACACTGCTCCAATTCGCCTTCCCTCCTTCCCTTCACCCTCCTTCCCTCCACCCTCCTTCCCTCCTACCCTCCTTCCCTCCACCCTCCCTCCCTCCTCTCCTCCCCCCCTCCTTCCCTCCACCCTCCTTCCCTCCACCCTCCTTCCCTTCACCCTCCTTCCCTCCTCTCCTCCTTCCTCCACCCCTCCTTCCCGTCACCCTCCACCCTCCTTCCATCCACCCTCCTCTCCCGTCCTTCCCTCCTCCTCCTCCTTCCCTCCACCCCCCTCCTTTCTCTCCTTCCCCGCATCCTCCTTCCCTCCAACCACCCCTCACCCCTCCTTCCATCCCCCCCTCTCCCCTTCCCTCCTCTCCTCCCCTCCACCCCTCCCTTATCTCCTTCCCTCCACTCCTCCTTCCCTCCCTCCTCTCCTCCACCCTCCTCTCCTCCCCCTCCTTCTCCTTCCCTCCACCCCTCCTTCCCTCCTTCCCTCCTCTCCTCCGTCCCTCCACCCCCTCCTTCCCTCCTCGCCTCCTTCCCCCCCCCTCCACCCTCCTCTCCTCTTTCCCTCCACACTCTCCTTCCCTCCTTCCCTCCTCTGGGTGCCTCCTTCCCTCCACCCTCCTTCCCTCTCACCCCTCCTTCCCCCCTTCCTCCACCCCTCTTCCCTCCACCCTCCTTCCTTCCCGCCACCCATTTCCGCCCTGTACTCAGACCAGCATCATTAGAATTCCTCTGCTTTAAAATGGCTGAGCACAGCAGCACCTACAAAGAGCCCCTTCTGTCTGTCTCTCTCTCAGCCCTGATGATCATAGCCCTGTGTCTGTGGGTCCCCTCCCCTCCATCCCTCTCTCTCTCCTCAGCTCTATGTCTTGAGTGACAGCTGACAGTATGATTTAGAGTATTAATTAGCGCCATAGAAGAGTCCTGTGTGTCTGGGGACTCCCTCCTCGCTCCTCCTCGCCCCTGAGCCTCCTCTGTGCCTCTCCTCACCGGGACTCTGCTCTCCGCTCTGGCTGCTACCCGGCTGTTCAGCTCAGCACTGTGTGTGCCCGCTCAATATCATCTGGACAGAGTTTAACCGGAGAGGAAAGGACACTGGACGCCAGTCTCTCCTCTCATTGTCCTATTCCTCTCCCCTTCCTCCTCTCCTCCTCCTCCCTCCTCTCTACTCCTCTCCTGCTCCTCTCTCCTCCTCTCCCCTCCTCTCCTCTATCACTTCCCTCCTTCCTCTCCTCCTCTTCCCCTCCTCCCCTCTCTATTATCCCTCCGCTCCTCCTCTTCCCCTCCTCCCCTCTCTCTTCCCTCCTCTACTCCTCTCCTCCTCCTCTGCTCCTCTCTCCTCCTCTCCCCTCCCTATCTCTTCCTCCTTCCTCTCCGCCTTCCTCCTCTCCTCCTCCCTCCTCTCTCCTCCTCTCCTCCCCTCTCTCCTCCCTCCTCTCTCCTCCTCTCCTCCCCTCTCTCTCCGCTTCCTCTCTCCTCCTCTCCCCTCCCCTCCCCTCCTCTATCTCTTCCTCTTCTCTCCTCTCCTCCTCTCTCCCTCCTCATCCCTCCCCTCCTCTCCTCCTCCTCTACTCTCCTCTCCCCTCATCTCTTCCCACTTCCCTCTCCTCCTCTCTCCCCTCCTCTATCTCTCCTCCTTCCTCTCCTCCTCCTCCCTCCCCTCTCCTCTCTCCTCCTCTCCCCCTTCCCCCCTCCTCTATCTCTCCCCTCGCTTCCCTCTTCTTCTCCTCTCTCCTCTCTCCTCTCCTCATCTCCCCCTCTCTCCTCCTCCTCTTACTTCCTCTCCTCCTCCTCCTCCCCCCCATCTCTTCCTACTCCCTCCTCCTCTCCACCCTCTATCTCTTTCCCTCCTCCTCCTCCTCCGTCCCTCCTCCGTCCTCTCCTCCTCTTCCTCTCCCTATTCCCTCCTCCTCTCCTCCTCTCCTCCTCCCCTCTCTTATCTCTTCCCTTTTACATTCTGTCTGGGAATTACATTTTTATCAATCAGTTCACAGTAACCTTTGTTCTGTTCTCAAAATGAGTTTCAATACGCTAACATGGCACTTCTGCTCTGTTCCCCGTTGTTATCTAAGGGCTGAGAGGAGAGAGGAAGAGAATGAGAAAGCAGAGGCATAGGCTTAGGCGGGGATGGTGAAAGAGGAGGAAGAGGAGAATGCGGAAGAGGCGGAAAAAGAGTGGATGGGTAATCCGACATCGGATTTGGTGCTCTTCTGTAGGCTGTCGAGGTGGTCGGCGGGCGGAGTCGAGGCGTAGGAGGATGATGTGGTAGATGTCGGAGACGGATTTGGAGGCGGATAGAGTGTGCTGATGAGAATGAGTTTAGGCGGAGGCGTATTAGGAGTTGTATGTTGATATTCTTATTGCTCTATATTTCGCTGTGTAGGATTGAGACGGCTTTTGAGGAGGCATGCTCGTCTTCTTCTGTCTTTTTTTCTTCTCTTCTTCCTTCTCTCTCCTTCTCCTCTATTTTATTCTCGTCTCCTTCTTTTTCTTCTTCGTTTGCTGCGTCTCTTTCTTCTTTTGCGTCTTCGGCACCTTCGTTTTCTTCCTCCTTCTTCATTCTTCTTTCTCTGTTGTCTTCTGCTCCCGGCGGCTGCGTTCGCCGTGTTTCCGCGTCGCCGCCGGTGGCGGCTGCGTGCTGCGGTTATCTGTGCGGCGGCGGCTGTGGCGTCTGACTCCGGGCTTCTGCGGCGGTCGCGTGTGGCGCGGCGCCGGCGGTTGCGGCGCGCGAGGGCTGTTGGCAGTTGGCTTGCTAGCGCAGTCTTGGGCGGCGCGGCCTGTCCGCGGTGGCGGCTGCTCCGGCGGATGCCTCGGCGGCGGAGGAAGAAGAGACTGGTGATAGGAAGAGTGAGGAGAAGAGGTTTCATCTCAATATCCCCTACCAACAGGTACTAACTGGTTGCCTTGCCTCATGGTTAAAGGAAGGATTGGCGGGTCACTGAGACACAGATGATTTGGCTGCATCCTGGGTACAGTACTGTTTCTCTCGCTCTCAGCAATCTCTCTCTCCTCTCTCTCTCTCTCTTGTCTCTTCTCTTCCTCTCTCTCTTCCTCTCATCCCTTCTCCTCTCCTCTCTCAGTCTCTCTCTCTGTCCTCTCTCTGCTGTCCCCTCTCTCTCTCTCTCTCCCCTCTCTCTGTCTCTCTCCCTTCCCTCTCATCTCTCTCTTCCATCTCTCTCGCTCTCCTCTCTCTCTCTCTCTCATCTCTCCTCTCTCTCATCTCTCCTCTCTCCTCCATCTCTCTCTCTCTTCTCTCTTACCATCCTCTCTCCTCTTCTCCTCTCTCCTCCCCTTCTCTTCTCTTCTCTCTCTCTCTCCCCTCTCCCCCCCCCCCTTCTCTCTCTCTCTCTCTTCTCTCCTCCTTACCCCTCTCTCTCTCTCTCCACTCCGTCCCTCCTCTCCATGCTCTCCTCTTCCTCTCTCTCCTCCCTCGTCCCTCTCCTCCCCTCTCTCTCATCTCTCTCTCTCCTCCCCTCATCCTCTCTCCTCTCTCTTCTCCTCTCTCTCTCCCTCTCTCCCTCCCTCTCTCTCTCTCTCTCTCTCGCTCCTCTCCTCTCTCCTCTCTCCCTCCCTCCTCCTCTCTCTCCTCTTCCTCCTCCCTCTCTTACTCTCTCTCTCTCTCTCTCTCAAATTCAAAGGGGCTTTATTGGCATGGGAAAGATATGTTTACATTGCCAAAGCTAGTGAAATAAACAATAAACAAAAGTGAGAAAAAACAAAAAACAACAACAAAAAAACAACAAAATGTCCAGTAAACATGACATCATCAAGGATTCAACAGGATAAAGACGTTTCAAATGTTATTATCAGCTATGTACAGTGTTTTTAACCATGTGCAAATAGTTGTAGTATGAATAATGGGGGAAGATAAATGAACACATAAATATGGGTTTTATTTACAATGTTTGTGCTCCACTGGTTTCCCTGTTGTCATGGCAATGGGTCACAAATCTATCGCCTAACAGATATGGGAGTTTATCAATGTTTGATTTGTTTTCTAATTATTTGTCGGTCTGTGTGATCAAGTGGGAAATATGTGTCTCTAATATGGTCATACATTTGGCAGGAGGTTAGGAAGTGCAGCTCAGTTTCCACCTCATTTTGTGGGCAGTGTGCACATAGCCTGTCTTCTCTTGAGAGCCAGGTCTGCCTACGGCGGCCTTTCTCAATAGCAAGGCTATGCTCACTGAGTCTGTACATAGTCAAAGCTTTCCCTAAGTTTGGGTCAGTCACAGTGGTCAGGTATTCTGCCACTATGGACTCTCTGTTTAGGGCCAAATAGCATTCTAGTTTGCTCTGTTTTTTTGTTAATTCTTTCCAATGTGTCAAGTAATTATCTTTCTGTTTTCTCACGATTTGGTTGGGTCTTATTGGGTTGTTGTCCTGGGGCTCTGTGGGGTCTGTTCGTGTTTGTGAACAGAGCCCCAGGACAATCTTGCTTAGGGGACTCTTCTCCAGGTTCATCTCTCTGTAGGTGATGGCATTGTTATGGAAGGTTTGGGAATCGCTTCCTTTTAGGTGGTTGTAGAATTTAACGGCTCTTTTCTGGATTTTGATCATTAGCGGGTATCGGCCTAACTCTGCTCTGCATGCATTATTTGGTGTTTTACGTTGTACACAGAGGATATTTTTGCAGAATTCTGCATGCAGAGTCTGAATTTGGTGTTTGTCCCATTTTGTGAATTATTGGTTGGTGAGCGGACCCCAGACCTCACAACCATAAAGGGCAATGGGTTCTATAACTTATTCAAGTATTTTTAGCCAGATCCTAATTGGTATGTTGAGTTTTATGTTTCTTTTGATGGCATAGAAGGCCGTTCTTGCCTTGTCTCTCAGATCGTTCACAGCTTTGTGGAAGTTACCTGTGGTGCTGATGTTTAGGCCGAGGTATGTATAGTATTTTGTGTGCTCTAGGGCAACGGTGTCTAGATGGAATTAGTATTTGTGGTCCTGGCAACTGGACCTTTTTTGGAACACCATTATTTTTGTCTTACTGAGATTTACTGTCAGGGCCCAGGTCTGACAGAATCTGTGCAGAAGATCTAGGTGCTGCTGTAGGCCCTCCTTGGTTGGGGACAGAAGCACCAGATCATCAGCAAACAGTAGACATTTGACTTCAGATTCTAGTAGGGTGAGGCCGGGTGCTGCAGACTGATCTAGGACCCACGCAAATTAGTTGATATGTTGAAGAGGGTGGGGCTTAAGCTGCATCCCTGTCTCACCCCACGGCCCTGTGGAAAGAAACGTGTGTGTTTTTTGCCAATTTTTACCGCACACTTGTTGTTTGTGTACATGGATTTTATAATGTCGTATGTTTTTCCCCCAACACCACTTTCCATCAATTTGTATAGCAATTTAACTTGCGTATAAAGTTCAGAATGACACCATTTCATGTGTCCAATATCTAAAGACCTGCATCACTATACTGAGACGTTTCCGTTTCTAAAATAACATATTTGGGTGTTTTTGGAGCCTTTGTCCATGTTTTTTCCATACTACACAACGAGGATGAGAAAGTGATTCGCTGTTTGGGGTAAGTTTAGCAAAAACAAGTGAAATCACAAAAAGGGTGTCTGGACCTTTCTATAACATGCCATTTACATCAAAAATTGATATTTGGTTGTAAAAAATAAAATGTCTCCTTTAACTCAATATTACTGGCCTAGTGATTGGTTTAGCCACTCAGGGACCTAGAACTAAAGCGCTTTCCTATTGGCTTAGCCACAGGGACCCAGATTAGTGCTCTGCTATTGTTCTAGCCACTCAGGGACCTGGGACTAAAGTGCTCATCTATTGGGTAAGTGGCGTGTTCTACTGGATGGTCCAATTGGTCAATTAAATAGGAAGTCAGCACACTTAGTGGACACTCTCTGGAAGAAGAAGAAGAAGAACTCACCATGTAACCAGGGGCACAGACGCAGGCCCCAGTGACTCCGTGACAGTCGGCCCCGTGGGAACAGCTGCATGGCAACCTGCATCCGTCGCCGTGGTAACCAGGTGGACAGGTCTCGTTGCAGTAGAGCCCCGCCCATCCTGCCGTACAGGCGCACTCACCTGACAGGGGGTGACAGCTAGAGCAGAATCAACCTGATTAATCAATCAATCAGTTGATCAGTCAATCAGTCAAATGTTATCTATAAAGCCCTTTTTACAGAACCACAGTAGGCCATGGTGAGAGATCTGCAGAGAGAGTGAAACAGTGAGCCCCAAGCCGACAGCAATTCATCCATCCATCTTGACCAAAGTGCTCCTATATACAGTGTACTCCCATATATAGTGTGCTCCTATATATAGTGTGCTCCTGTGCTCCTATATATAGTGTGCTCCTATATAAAGTGTGCTCCGTGCTCCTATATAAAGGTGCTCCTATATAAATGTGGCTCCTATATAAAATGGGCTCCTGGTCTCCTATATAAAGTGGTGCTCCTATATAAAGTGTGACCTCCTGTGCTCCTATCTAAAGTGTGCTCCTTGCTCCTATATAAAGTGTGCTCCATTAAAGTTGTGCTCCTATATAAAGTGTGCTTCCTGTGCCTCCTATATAAAGTGTGGCTCCTGTGCTCCTATATAAGTGTGCTCCTGTGCTCCTATATAAGTGTTCTTTCCTGTGCTCCTATATATAGTGTGCTCCTAAAGAAAGTGTGCTATGCTCCTGTGCTCCTAATAAGTGGTGCTCCTGTGCTCCTATATAAAGTGTGGCTCCTATAAAAGTTGTCTCCTGTGCTCCTATATAAATTTGCTCCTAATAAGTTGTGCTCCTGTGCTCCTATATAAAGTGTGCTCCTATATAAAGTGTGCTCCTGTGCTCCTATATAAAGTGTGCTCCTGTGCTCCTATATAAAGTGTGCTCCTATATAAAGTGTGCTCCTATATAAAGTGTGCTCCTGTGCTCCTATATAAAGTGTGCTCCTATATAAAGTGTGCCCCTGTGCTCCTATATAAAGTGTGCTCCTGTGCTCCTATATAAAGTGTGCTCCTGTGCTCCTATATAAAGTGTGCTCCTGTGCTCCTATATAAAGTGTGCTCCTGTGCTCCTATATAAAGTGTCCTGGCTCCTATATAAAGTGTGCTCCTGTGCTCCTATATAAGTGTGCTCCTGTGCTCCTATATAAAGTGTGCTCCTGTGCTCCTATATAAAGTGTGCTCCTGTGCTCCTATATAAAGTGTGCTCCTGTGCTCCTATATAAAGTGTGCTCCTGTGCTCCTATATAAAGTGTGCTCCTGTGCTCCTATATAAAGTGTGCTCCTATATAAAGTGTGCTCCTGTGCTCCTATATAAAGTGTGCTCCTGTGCTCCTATATAAAGTGTGCTCCTGTGCTCCTATATAAAGTGTGCTCCTATGAACTCAGAGGGAGAAGGTATCCCTTTTCCCCTCCCCTGTTCCTGGAACAGCATCAGAGCATTAACACTGCATTAGCAATAGCGCTGAGCAATTAACCCAAATGTATCATTTTTTAAAACAACTACTTGACCAACATCGGTTCAATTATTTGAATTCCATTTCGTTAGGTTTTTTTCTGTGAGCTCAATGCGCATATTGCACAGTTTCTCTAGAGATCCAGCCCGAACTGGGCGATGTACTAGGGAGATGTAGTTTCCAACAGGCCAATATTCTACATAGTTTAGCGCAGAAAACGTGATAATTAACTACAATGACCATAATCCATTGCGCGCCTGTTTAAACTTGCAGAGAGAACTTGCGATGGAGAGGGATAGAGAGCAGTTGCTTCGCGAGCCTGAAAATACATGACCTGAGTCAGGGGAGAGCAACCCTGTTCCTGGAGGCCCACCGCAGGATTTTGTTCCAACTACGCACCAAATCGATCAGTTCAATGGTTGCCTAAATTCAACACACCTGGTCTTCCGGGTCGGATAAATCCAAAACATGAACAGGACCTGGACCTGGGTTGCCTACCCCTGGTCTAAGTGATTTGATATTTGGTATTCAGCGGTCATACAAGTCTGCCTTATTTACTTTGAAGAACTACTAAAATAGTGATTTAGTCAGACATCACAGGCAGCAGCTCTATAGAGATGAGATGATGACTTGGAATGAAATAATAAAGTCATCAAATAAAACTAATATTTTATTAAAGTAAAGTAATGTGAATAACTGATGGTTAATGCAGTGATCAGCAGTAATGGACAGTCACTATCATCACGGGACTTTTACTAATTGTTTTATTCAGTGTTGCAGCGTTCAAACCCACATAATGCATAGTGCATTTAAAGTTTAAAAAGAAAGTTTCGGAAACAAACATCGAAAACTGTGATAATTGTTTTATAATCGAACCGAAACCGACCTCAAAAAGCACTAATCGCTCAGCACTAATTAGCAATGAATGCTGCTGAACATTCCTCCATGACACAGATAAGACAGGTGTCCTGGCTTAGAAATGTGCTGCTGGCTTACAAATGAGATGAAATGAAAGGTGATTCTGAAAGCTAATACCAAGTCTTCAGGGCAGGCCCTAGGTCAGGCTGCTCATGAAGCAAACGTGGTTCAACAAATCACCTGTGTAGAAATGCAAACTTTCTGTAACTTTTCCAGAATTCCCAGGTTTTCCAGAAATCCTTCTTGGTGAATTCCGGATTCCCTGCTTATTCCCTCCTGAAACTGATATATTATTATTACTATTATTATTATTATTATTATTATTATTATTATTATTATTAGTAGTAGTAGTAGTAGTAGTAGTAGTAGTAGTAGTAGTAGTAGTAGTAGTAGTAGTATTAGTAGTATTAGTATTAGTATTATTAGTAGTATTATTAGTATTATTTGCCCCCTTTCTAATTTTCTCTACTTTAGCATATTATGGGAATCTTCCAACCGGGATTTCTGGAAAATATTCTATCTGTGTAATGTCCCACGTACCTGACAGTGTTGGAGGCGTTACAGGCGCAGTACTTGTCACAGATGAGTCCGTACAGGCCTGGAGGACAGAACCTCTCCTGACAGTGAGGTCCTTTAAAGCCTGTGTCACACAGACATGCCCCATTGATATGGTAACACTTAGCACCGTTCTGACAGTCACACAGCAGGCTGCACTGAGGACCGTACGACCCCACCGGGCACTCCTCCTGGCATCTAGAGAGGAGAGGGAGGGGGGAAGAGAGAGAGATTTAGTGATAATCACACCTCAGCCTGCACTGAGGACTGTAGGACCGTACCGGGCACTCCTCCTGGCATCTAGAGAGGAGAGGGAGGGGGGAAGAGAGAGAGATTTAGTGATAATCACACCCCAGCCTGCACTGAGGACCGTAGGACCGTACCGGGCACTCTTCCTGGCATCTATAGAGGATAACAATAGTCATACAGTGGCAAAAGTCCAGCCCCTATAAACAAGTGCAGAATCAGTGACCTAACTGGATTGCAGAGTTTGTAAATATTCAGATCCCACACTGAGATGTTTACAGACAGTCAGGCTCCATTATTCAGAGGGTAGTCCCCTACTGCCTCATAGCTGAGAATGTTACAGACAGTCAGGCTCCATTATTCAGAGGGTAGTCCCCCTACTGCCTCATAGGCTAGATGTTTCAGACAGTCGGCTCCATTATTCAGAGGGTAGTCCCCCTACTGCCTCATAGGCTGAGATGTTTACAGACAGTCAGGCGACATTATTCAGAGGGTAGTCCCCCTACTGCCTCATAGGCTGAGATGTTTACAGACAGTCAGGCTCCATTATTCAGAGGGTAGTCCCCCTACTGCCTCATAGGCTGAGATGTTTACAGACAGTCAGGCTCCATTATTCAGAGGGTAGTCCCCCTACTGCCTCATAGGCTGAGATGTTTACAGACAGTCAGGCTCCATTATTCAGAGGGTAGTCCCCCTACTGCCTCATAGGCTGAGATGTTTACAGACAGTCAGGCGACATTATTCAGAGGGTAGTCCCCCTACTGCCTCATAGGCTGAGATGTTTACAGACAGTCAGGCTCCATTATTCAGAGGGTAGTCCCCCTACTGCCTCATAGGCTGAGATGTTTACAGACAGTCAGGCGACATTATTCAGAGGGTAGTCCCCCTACTGCCTCATAGGCTGAGATGTTTACAGACAAGTGTTAGGCTACACTGTAAAAAATAACTCTTTGGATAAACCCCCCAAAAAATTACTTCAATTAATATTACAAGTAAATAAATCAGGATTTCTCAATTGAAAAAAAATATGTTTGCTGAAACCAAATATATAATTGAATGACAAGTTTTCTATTTGATTATTAACAAAGCTATTAGACTAAACTTACTGTTCCCTTTCGGTTAACCCTAATAAACAACACTAATACAAACTAATATTTAAAGTAATCACAACCCATTTTTTATTTATCTTGTTCCAAGTAGATTTGTTACTTTGGAATTACCTACGCAAAATTATTCAATTGAGTCACAAAGCAATTAAATAAATTCCTTGCAAACCAAGAAATGATGCTGGTTCAATAACATGAAATAAGACTCCAAACTGATACGTTTGGACGAATAAAGTCTTTACATAAGACTTTTACATTTATTGGCCACAGTATTGTAACCAAATGGTGATTTAACAATGGAAGCCTTAACTAGGCTTCTAAGGGTGTTTTCACGCATAGTTTTAAGCTATTCATGAGTTGCACGTTACTTCAGAATATTGTTTTGAACGTTTGTTTTAGGACTGATGCCCAACTGAGCATTCTACTCAACGCATCCTCGTTGGGGACTGATGAAGATATGGTCTAAAGTGTATTACTGGTGCTCGAAAACACGACGACATTTCTAAAGAAAGCATATCATTAGTAGGAAAACCTTTTGTCATCGTTTTGATGTTGCCAGATTGACTTTAGATGCAGTATAAGGTTAGCTAGCTAGCTAAGATTGAGGGGAGACCTCCAGATATTAGCTAGCTATCGTTAGCATTGCTAGCTATTTTTGACGAAACTTTGCTTGCTAATGACAACGTTGCCATCTGTCTAAAGTAAATTTGACAACATGATGATGATGATGATGATGATGGCAAAGCTGTTTCCTACTAAATATGTCCCTACTTCAGCAATGCCATCATATTCCCAAGCCCCTATATTGTAATTTAGCTGCCACAGCCATTAGCCCCCGTTCTACTTTGGAGCATCAATATGGCTGCGGCGTCTTTACAGCATTGATAACAATGGCAGCGACCGAGTGATGGAGGTGAAATCCATGTCTAGTTTGAATCAGAGTTTGATTATTTGTTACATTGCATTTTTTTATTTGGTCCGGTTGGTTTCACATTGCCAAATGTCAAACGAACTAAAATGCCTATACAAAACCATGTGTCCATGCAAGTCATTTGTTTATTTGGACACAAATGCTCACGTTAAATCCATCTATGATTATCATGAAGCTCACTTGTGTGTCCCAACATTGGACGCACTCAGGTCCCTTCAGGCTGAGATGGTTCTCCAGTCAGTCTAGGTGAGGTTCAGAGTACCAATAACAATCAGGACTACTCTATACCACCACAGGGGTTATCCAAGTGAGCCAGCTGCATGAGAGGGTGGGCCCTCAGCATTTAGAGAGAGAGAGAGCGAGAGATAGAGAGAGAGAGAGGAGTATGAGGAGAGAAAAGGTGATAGAGGAGAGAGAGAGATAGATAGGAAAAGAGAGAGAGAGAGGAAGTTTAATGATAGAAAGAAAGATAGTAAAAGGAAGTGACGAGAAGAAAAGAGAGATAGAGAGATGGGAGAAGAGCGCTGATTTAAAATTCATATATATAAAACGAGCTATAAAGATGCTAGAGAGATAGATCCAGACATTTAGCTAATCTCTCTACTTCTGCTCTCTTCTCTTTCTCTTCTCTGTTGTCTTTTCTCTCTCGCTCTCTCTCTTTTCTGCTCCTCTCTCCCCTTTCTCTTCTTCTTCTCTCCTCTATTCTCTCCTCTCCCCTCTTCTCTCTTCTCCCCCCTCTCTTCTCTCTCTCTCTCTCTCTCTCCTCTTTTCTCTCTCTCCCTCTCCCCTCTCTCTCTCCCCCTCTCTCTCTCCTCTCTCCTCTCTCTCTCTCTCCTCTCTCCTCGCTCTCCTCTCTAGCTTCCCCTCTTCTTTTTGTTCTCTTCTATCTCTCTCCTCTCCTCCTCTCGCTCTCTCTCATTCCTCCCCTCTCCTCTCCAAAAACCCCTTTTACGGCAAAACAACACTCGTAGCCTAGCCTCTCTCTCTTCTCCTCTCTTTTTCTTCTTCTCTCGTCTCTTCGGTTTCCCCTTTTCCAATTCTCCTTCTTCTTCTGTCTGTTTCGTTCTCTCTCTTACTTCTTCTCCTTACTCCCTTTCTTCCTTAGCTTGCCCCTCCCTCTCCGCCTCTTTCCCCTAACAGAAACCCCGCCAACCATCATCTCATGGTGTCCAGCAAACCATTATGCAGCCAGTAGATATTCAATTAAATTACTACTAAATTGACTAGTTATGTTTCATGTTTAAATTACATTGGCTTCATGTGTTATAAAGGGGAGAGGGGGGTTTTGTGCGCCCCCAAAATGGGCCCTATTCACAGGGTAGTACTCCAGGCGGAGAGAGAGGTGGGTGTAGTGTGGGGAGGTTCATTTACCTGTCACTTCACTAAATGAATGAGGGCAGCTTAGCCAAATATTAAAAGAGAAAGAAAGTCGTGTTCTGGAAGAGCTTTGATCCGGGTGGCTTTAGGCTGAAGAGATGATAGCCTGCAGGGGTAGGTCTGTCTGAGGGAACTGAAGAGATCTGATAACCTACAGGGGTAGGTCTGTCTAGATCTGATAACCTACAGGGGTAGGTCTGTCTGAGAGAACTGAAGACTCTTAACCTACAGGGTAGGTCGGGTCTAGAGGAACTGAAGAGATCTGATAACCTCAGGGGTAGGTTCTTCTGAAGAACTGAAGAATCTGATAACCTACCATGGGGTAGGTCTGTCTGAGAGGAACTGAAGAGATCTGTTTAACCTCCCCCGGGGTGGTCTGTCTGAGAGAACTGAAGAGATCTGATAACCTGCAGGGGTAGGTCTGTCTGAGGGAACTGAAGAGATCTGATAACCTACAGGGGTAGGTCTGTCTGAGGAACTGAAGAGATCTGATAACCTACAGGGGTAGGTCAGTCTGAGGGAACTGAAGAGATCTGATAACCTACAGGGGTAGGTCTGTCTGAGGGCTCTGAAGAGATCTGATAACCTACAGGGGTAGGTCTGTCTGAGGGATCTGAAGAGGTCTGATAACCTGCAGGGGTAGGTCTGTCTGAGGGAAAAACAGTGTTTTAGAAATGTTTGCTAATTTATTACAAATAAAAAACTGAAATATAACATTTGCATAAGTATTCAGACCCTTTCCTCAGTACTTTGTTGAAGCAATTTTGGCAGCGATTACAGCATCGAGTCTTCTTGGGTATGACTCTACAAGCTTGGCACACCTGTATTTGGAGAGTTTCTTCAATTCTTCTCTGCAGATCCTCTCAAGCTCTGTCAGGTTGGATGGGGAGCATCGCTGCACAGCTATTTTTAGGTCTCTCCAGAGATGTTCGATCCGATTCAAGTCCGGGCTCTGGCTGGGCCACTCAAGGACATTCAGAGACTTGTCCCGAAGCCACTCCTGCATTGACTTGGCTGTGTGCTTAGTGTCGTTGTCCTGTTGGAAGGTGAACCTTCAACCCAATCTGAAGTCCTGAGCGCCCTGGAGCAGGTTTTCATCAAGGATCTCTCTGTACTTTGCTCCGTTAATCTTTGCCTCGATCCTAACTAGTCTCCCTGTCCCTGCCGCTGAAAAACATCCCAACAGCATGATGCTGCCACCACTATGCTTCACTGTAGGGATGGTGCCAGGTTTCCTCCAGACGTGATGCTTGGCATTCAGACCAAAGAGTTCAATCTTGGTTTCACCAAACCAGAGAATCTTTAGGTGCCTTTTGGCAAACTCCAAGTGGGCTGTCATGTGCTTTTTACTGAAGAGTGGCTTCCATCTGGCCACTCTATCATAAAGGCCTGATTAGTGGAGTGCTGCAGAGATGGTTGTCCTTCTGGAAGGTTTCTCCCATCTCCACAGAGGAACTCTAGAGCTCTGTCAGAGTGACCATCGGGTTCTTGGTCACCTCCCTGACCAAGGCCCCTTCTCCCCTGATTGCTCAGTTTGGCCGGGCGGCCAGATCTAAGAAGAGTCTTGGTGGTTCCAAACTTCTTCCATTTAAGAATGATGGAGGCCACTGTGTTCTTGGGGACCTTCAATGCTGCAGAAATGTTTTGGTACCCTTCCCCAGATCTGTGCCTTGACACAATCCTGTCTCGGAGCTCTACGGATAATTCCTTCGACCTCATGGCTTGGTTTTTGCTCTGACATG